GTGAAACCCCATCTTAAAAAAGAAAAATAAATAAATTATATATATATATATATATACACACACACACACACACACACACACACACACACACACACACAAGTTAAGGGGCAGATTATGCAGAAATTTCTATAAATAGGAATTTATAGAAATTCCTATTTATAGAAATTTCTATAATTTCTGGGTCACTGGGTCATTGCCATGGAAATGGGTGGTAACTTCCAGGTGTTTTCATGGCAATGGTAAGCTGACAATGGTTCTGTCTTATGGAAAGGTGTTTTCGCCTCTTCCCTGTGTCAGCTATTCTTCAATCCGGTCTGGAGCTTGAACCCTGTCTCCGAAGTTGAGTGCTGCCTCCTACCTCAATTCCACTCATATGAGGCACCCAGAGTAGTCAAATTTTCAGAGACAGGAAGTAGAATGCTGGTTACCAGGTGGTAGTGGGAGCCAGAATGGGAAGTTACTGTTTAATGGGAACAGAATTTCCATTTGGGAAGATGAAAAAGTTCTGGAAATGGATTGTGGTGATGGTTACACAACACTGTGGAGGTACTAATATCACCAAACCATATGCTTTAAAAAGGTTAAGACTGTAAATTTTATGTTATGTGCATTTTACCCCAATTTTTTCTTTTTTCGAGACAAGGTCTCACTTGCTTGCCCATGCTAGAGTGCAGTGGTGTGATCATGGCTCACTGCAGCCTTAACCTCTGGGCTCAAGCAATCCTCTTGCCTCAGCCTCCTGAGTAGATGGGAACACAGGCCAGCAGCTCCATGCCTTTTTTATTAATAGATAAAGTCTCACCTGTCTGGTCTTGAACCCTTGGGATAAAATGATCCTCCCAAAGTGCTAAGTTTAAAGGACAAGCCACTGTGCCCAGCCTACCACAATTTTTTTTTGAGACAGAGTCTCACTCTGTCACCCAGGCTGGAATGCAATAGCACAATCTCCACTCACTGCAACCTCTGCCTCCCGGGTACAAGCAATTCACCTGCCTCAGTCTCCTGAGTAGCTGGGATTACAGGTGCATACCATCACCCGTGGGTAATTTTTTGTATTTTTAGTAGAGACAGGGTTTCACCATGTTAGCCAGGATGGTCTTAATCTCCTGACCTTGTGATCCGCCAGCCTCAGACTCCCAAAGTGAAGGGCAATTCTAACTATACCTCTATAAACAAAACTGCAAGGAAGTTCACACAGCAGCTGGGCAGAGCCCATGGCAGCTCAGCAATACCTCTGCTTGCAGGCTGTGACTAGGCTATCTCCTCGCTGGGCACGTGATCTCTGAAAAAGGCAGCAGCACATCAGGAACTTATAAATAAAGCCCCACCTTCCCAGAGCATCTGGGAAAAAAAGGCAGTTTTGAGTTCTGCTGCAGCAGACTTGAACACACCTGCCCAGCAGCTCTAAACGGAACAATGGAGCTCACAGCTCAGCACTTGAGCTTCTATAAGGGACAGGCTGTCTCATCACACAGCTCCTCGACCCCCATATATTCAAAGAGACACTTCATAAAGGAGAGCTCAGGCTGACATCTGGCAGGTATCCTTCTGAGACAAAGATAACAGAAAAAGAAGCTGGCATCAATCCTTACTGTTCTGCAGACACTGCAGGTGATCCCCAGGCAAGCAGTCTGGAGTAGACCTCCAGAAGTCCTACAGCAGAGGGGCCTGATTGTTAGAAGGAAAACTGAAAAACAGAAAGAAATAACTTCATCATCAACAAAAAGGACATCCACACAGAGACCCCATCAGAAAGTCACCAACTACAAAAACCACAGGTAGATAAATCCACAAAGATGGGAAGAAACCAGTGCAAAAAGGATGAAAATACCCAAAACCAGAATGCCTCTCCTCCTCCAAGGGATCACAACTCCTCACCAGCAAGGGAACAAGGCTAGATGCAGAATGAGTCTCATGAATTGACAGAAACAGGCTTCAGAAGGTGGGTAATAACAAACTTCTCTGATCTAAAAGAACATATTCTAAGGCAATGCAAAGAAACTAAGAACATTGAAAAAAGGTTTGACAAAATGCTAACGAGAATAAACAGCTTAGAGATGAATATAAATGAATTGATGGAGCCGAAAAACACAATACGAGAACTTCACGAAGCATACACAAGTTTCAATAGCCAAATCGACCAAGCAGAAGAAAGGATATCACAGACTGAAGATCAACTCAATGAAATAAAATGAGAAGGCAAGGTTAGAGAAAAAAGAGTAAAAAGAAATGAACAAAGCCTCCAAGAAATATGGGATTATGTCAAAAGACCTAATGTATGTTTGATAGGTGTATCTGAATGTAACGGAGAGAATGAATCCAAGCTGGAAAATACTCTTCACGATGTTATCCAGGAGAACTTCCCCAACCTAGCAAGGCAGGCCAATATTCAAGTCCAGGAAATACAGAGAACACCACAAAGATATTCATTAAGAAGAGGAACCCCAAGGCACATAATTGTGAGATTCACCAGGGTTGAAATGAAGGAAAAAATGCTAAGGGCAGCCAGAGAGAAAGATCAGGTTACCTACAAAGGGAAGCCCATCAGACTCACAGCAGATCTCTCAGCAGAAACCCTACAAGCCAGAAGAGAGTGGGGCCAATATTCAACATCCTTAAAGAAAAGAACTTTCAACCTAGAATTTCATATCCAGCCAAACTAAGCTTCATAAGCGAAGGAGAAATAAAATCCTTTACGAACAAGCAATTGCTCAGAGATTTCATCACCACCAGACTTGCCTTACAGGAGCTTCCGAAAGAAGCATTAAACATAAAAAGGAACAACCAGTACCAGCCACTCCAAAACATATCAAATGGTAAACAGCATCGATACAATGAAGAAACTGCATCAACTAATAGGCAAAACAACCAGCTAGCATCAAAATGGCAGGATCAAATTCACACATAACAATATTAACCTTAAATGTAAATGGGCTAAATGCCCCAATCAAAAGACACAGACTGGCGAATTGGATAAGAAGTCAAAACCCATCAGTGTGCTGTATCCAGGAAACCCATCTCATGTGCAAGGACACACATAGGCTCAAAATAAAGGGATGGAGAAAGATTTACCAAGCAAATAGAGAGCAAAAAAGAGGAGGAGTTGCAATCCTAATCTCTGATAAAATAGACTTTAACAAAGATCAAAACAGACAAAGAAGGGCATTACATAATGGCAAAAGGATCAATGCAACAAGAAGAGCTAATGTTATTCTCTCCAAATAGGTAAAAAATTAAAAAAAAAAAAAAGAAAAGCTAATGATCCTAAATATATACGTACCCAATACAGAAGCACCCAGATACATAAAGCAAGTTCTTAATGACAATACGAGAGACTTAGACTCCCACACAATAATAGTGGGAGAATTTTACACTTCACTGTCAATATTAGACAGATCAACGAGACAGAAAATTAACAAGGATATCCAAGACTTGAACTCAGATCTGGACCAAGCAAGCCTAATAGACATTTACAGAACTCTCCACCCCAAATCCACAGAATATACATTCTTCTCAGCACCACATCACACCTACTCTAAAATTGACCACATAATTGGAAGTAAATCACTCCTCAGCAAATGCAAAAGAATGGAAATCATAACAAACAGTTTCTCAGACCACAGGGCAATCAAATTAGAACTCATGATTAAGAAACTAACTCAGAACCGCACAACTTCATGGAAACAGAACAACTGGCTCTTGAATGTTGACTGGATAAACAATGAAATGAAGGAAGAAATAAAGATGTTCTTTGAAACCAACGAGAACAAAGACACAATGTACCAGAATCTCTGGGACACATTTAAAGCAGTGTCTAGAGAAAAATTTATAGCAATAAATGCCCACACAAGAAGCAAGGAAAGACCTAAAATCGACACCCTATCATCAAAATTGAAAGAGCTAGAGAAGCAAGATCAAAAAAATTCAAAAGCTAGCAGAAGACAAGAAATAACTAAGATCAAAGCAGAACTGAAGGAGATAGAGACACAAAAAACCCTTCAAAAAACCAATAAATCCAGGAGCTGGTTTTTTGAAAAGATCAACAAAATAGACCACTATCCAGATTAATAAAAAAGAAAAGAGAGAAGAATCAAAAAGATGCAATAAAAAATGATAAAGGGGATATCACCACAGATTCCACAAAAATACAAACCACTATCAGAGATTACTACAAACAATTCTATGCACATAAACCAGTAAACCTGGAAGAAATGGATAAATTCCTGGGCACTTGCACCCTCCCAAGCCTAAACTAGGAAGAAGTCCAAACCCTGAATAGACCAATAACAAGGGCTGAGGGTGAGGCAGCAATTAATAGCCTACCAACCAAAAAAAGCCCAGGTCCAGATGAGTTCACAGTTGAATTCTACCAGACATACAAAGAGGAGCTGGTACCACTCCTTCTGAAACTATTCCAAACAATCCAGAAAGAGGGAAGCCTCCCCAAATCATTTTATGAGACTAGCATCATCCTGATACCAAAACCCGGCAAAGACTCAACAAGAAAAGAAAACTTCAGGCCAATATCTATGATAAACATAGATGCAAAAATCTTCAATAAAATACTGGGAAACCAATTGCATCAGCACATCAAAACACTTATCCATCACGATCAAGTAGGCTTCCTCGGGATGGAAGTCTGGTTCAACATATGCAAGTCTATAAACGTAATTCACCACATAAACAAAACCAAAGACAAAAACCACATGATTATCTCAATAGATGCAGAGAAGGCCTTCCACAAAATTCAACAGCGCTTTATGCTAAAATCTCTCAATAAACTAGGTATCAACAGAACGTATCTCAAAATAATAAAAGCGACGGCTGCTGGGTGCGGGCGGTGGGCTGTGTGTTGCCCTGCGTACTGGGTCCTGGGTCCCTCCCTGCCGAGCCCCGCCCCTCAGGTCCCGGCATGACCGCGGAGCTGCAGTCCCCAGGCCAGCCTGGGGTGGCCATCCCCGGAACCACCCTTTGAGGTGTCCTCTCTTTAGGGATGGTGAGGTTGGAAGAAGGTTCCTGTAACCCAGGATAACCACCTGCCAGAAAACATGGAGAATGCTCTCAACCGGAGCCAGGGCTCCCATGCTTCTCTGCGAGACATCCATTACATCAACCCCACACAACTCATGGCCAGAATTGAGTCCTATGAGGGAAGGGAAAAGAAAGGCATATCTAATGTCAGGAGGACTTTCTGTTTGTCACCTTTGACCTCTTATTTGTAACATTACTGTGGATACTAGAATTAAATGTGAATGGAGGCATTAAGAATACGTTAGAGAAAGAGGTGGTGCAGTATGACTACTACTTTTCATATTTTGATACATTTCTTTTGGCAGTTTTTCAATTTAAAATATTAATACTTGCATACGCTGTGTACAGACTGTGCCATTGGTGGGCAATAGCGTTGACAACGGCAGTGACCAGTGCCTTTTTACTAGCAAAAGTGATCCTTTCAAAGCTTTTCTCTCAAGGGGCTTTTGGCTATGTGCTGCCCATCATTTCATTCATCCTTGCCTGGATTGAGACGTGGTTCCTGGATTTCAAAGTGTTACCTCAAGAAGCAGAAGAAAACAGACACCTGATAGTTCAGGATGCTTCAGAGAGGGAAGCACTTACACCTGGTGGTCTTTCTGATGATCAGTTTTATTCCCCTCCTGAATCTGAAGCAGGATCTGACGAAGCTGAAGAAAAACAGGACAGTGAGAAACCACTTTTAGAACTATGAGTACTACTTTTGTTAAATGTGAAAAACTCTCACAGAAAGTCACCGGAGGCAAAAGGAGGCTAGAAATGGAGCCTCCCTGTTGACAATAAAATGGTGATGCTCACTGCTGACTTTATTGAACAGCTAATAAAGATTTATTTATCGTAATACCTCACAGACATTGTACCATATCCATGCACATTTAGTCACCTGCCTGTGGCCAGTAAGGTAATGTCATGATTCATCCTCTCTTCAGTGAGACTGAGTCTGATGTGTTAACCATTAGGTGAGGAAAGTCTTGTGCTGTATTCGTAATCAGAAGACTTAAATATTGAAATAAAACTTTTTTAGTAAGCAAAATACCTTTTAATTTCAATTCACAGAATGACATTTTTTTGTTTTATGTCTCAGATTTATTTTGTATTTCTTTTTTCACATCCTACATTCCCTTTGTTTTTAAACTCATGCACATGTGCTCTTTGTACAGTTTTTAAAAGCATAATAAAATGCATCATGTCAAAAAGTGATGATAATAATAATAATAATAATAATAAAAGCTATTTACGACAAACCCACAGCCAATGTCATACTGAATGGGCAAAAACTGGAAGCTTTCCCTTTGAAATCTGGCACTAGACAAAGATGCTCTCTCTCACTACTCGTATTTGATATAGTATTGGAAGTTCTAGCCAGAGCAATCAGGCAAGAAGAATCAATGTTGTGAAAATGGCCATACTACCCAAAGTAATTTATAGATTCAATGCTATCCCCCATCAAGCTACCTATGACCCTCTTCACAGAACTGGAAAAAAACACCTTAAAATTCATATGGAACCAAAAGACAGCCCACATAGCCAAGTCAATTCTAAGCAAAAAGAACAAAGCTGGAGGCATCACGCTACCTGACTTCAAACTATACTACAAGGCTACAGTAATCAAAAGAGCATGGTACAGGTACCAAAACAGAGATATAGTCCAATGGAACAGAGCAGAGTCCTCAGAGGCAACACCACACAACTACAACCATCTGATCTTTGACAAGCCTGACAAAAACAAGCAATGGGGAAAGGATTCCTTGTTTAATAAATGATGTTGGGAAAACTGGCCAGCCATGTGCAGAAAGCAGAAACTGGACCCCTTCCTGACACCTTACACTAAAATTAACTCCAGATGGATTAAAGACTTAAACATAAGACCTAACACCATAAAAACCCTAGAAGAAAACCTAGGGAAAACCATTCAGGACATAGGCATAGGCAAGGACTGCATGACTAAAATACCAAAGGCATTGGCAACAAAAGCCAAAATAGACAAATGGGGTCCAATTAAACTCCAGAGCTTCTGCACAGCAAAAGAAACAATCATTAGAGTGAACTGGCAACCAACAGAATGGGAAAAAATTTTTGCAATCTACCCATCTGACAAAGGGCTAATATCCAGAATCTACAAAGAACTAAAACAGATTTACAAGAAAAAAACAAACAAAACCATTCAAAAGTGGGCAAAGGATATGAACAGACACTTTTCAAAAGAAGACACATATGAGGCCAACAAACATATGAAAAAATGCTCATCATCACTGATTAGAGAAATGCAGACCAAAACTACATTGAGATACCATCTCACGCCAGTTAGTATGGTGATCATTAAAAAACCTGGAGACAACAGATACTGGAGAGGATGTGGAGAAATATGAAAGTTTTACACTGTTGGTGGGAGTGTAAATTAGTTCAACCATTGTGGAAGGCAGTGTGGAATTCCTCAACGACCTAGAAATAGAAATTCCATTTGACCCAGCAATCCCATTACTGGGTATATATCCAAAGGATTATAAATCATTCTACTATAAAGACACATGCACACGTATGTTCATTGCAGCACTGTTTACAATAGCAAAGACTTGGAACCAACCAAAATGACCATCGATGATAGACTAGATGGGGAAAATGTGGCACATATACACCATGGAATACTATGCAGCCATAAAAAACGATGAGTTTCTGTCCTTTGTAGGGACATGGATGAACCTGGAAACCATCATTCTCAGCAAACTGACACAAGAACAGAAAATCTAACATGGCATGTTCTCACTCATAGGTAGATGTTGAACAATGAGACCACATGGACACAGGTAGGAAAACATCACACACTGAGGTCTGTTGGGGGGGACTAGGGGAGGGACAGTGGGGGAGTAGGGAGTTGGGGAGGGATAACATGGGGAGAAATGCCAGATACAGGTGATGGGGATGGAGGCAGCAAACCACAGTGCCATGTATGTACCTATGCAACAATCCTGCATGTTCTTCACATGTACCCCAGAACCTAAAATGCAGTAATATATATATATTAAAAATAAAAAAAGAAATACCCTGCTTATCATCAAAATTTCCCCTAGATTCAGCAACTGTAATTAGTTATCCATTGCTATTATGCCAAATCTTAGTAGCCTAAAACAATAGATATTTATGATCTCAGGCAGTTCCTATGGGTCAGGAATTTGGCAGTGGCTTGGCTGGGTGGTTCTGGCTCAGGGTATCTAATGAGGTTGCATTTAAGCTGCCAGCCAGAAGCTGCATTTATCTGAAGGCTTACCTGGGGCTGGGGAATCTGCTTCCAGGATGAGTCATTCACATGCCTGGCAAGTTAGTGCTAGAACCAAGAAGGCCTCTACTCCTTATCACATGGAACTTCCCATAGGTCTACTTGACTGTCTTCATGGCATGACAGCTGGCTTCCCCTAGAGCAAGGGATCTCAGAGAGAAAGCAAGGAGAAAGCAGTGTCTCCTGTGACCTACTCTTAGAAGTCATACACTATCACTTCCACCATATTCATTATTTGCTCACATTCAAGGGGAGGAGAATCAAGCATTAACTTTTTTTTTTTTTTTTAAGAGACAGGATGTTGGCTGGGCATGCTGGTTCACACTTGTAATCCCAGCATTTTGGAAGGACAAGGCAGGTGGATGACCTGAGGTCAGGAGTTCCAGACCAGCCTGACCAACAGGGTGAAAGCTCGCCTCTGCTAAAAATACAAAAATTAGCCAGGTATGGTGGTGCACACCTGTGGTCCCAGCTACTTGGGAGGCTGAGGCAGTATAATCCCTTGAACCCAGGAGTAGGAGGTTGCCATGTGCCAAGACTGCACCACTGTACTCCAGCCTGGGCAACAGAGCAAGACTTCATCTCAAAAAAAAAAAAAAAGAGAGAAAGAGAGAGAGAGAGGGTCTTGTTATGTTGCTCAAGCTCCTGGACTCTCCTGCCTCCACCTCCTGAGCAGCTAGCTATGCACACACTACAGGTGTGTGCCACCATGCCTGGCTTCTGTATTATTATTATCATGAGACTCTGTCTCACTCTGTCACTCAGTCTAGAGTTCAGTGGCATGATCATAGCTTACAGCAGCCTCTAAGTCCCAGGCTCCAGAGATCCTCCTAACACAGCTTCCCAAGTGCCAGGACTACAGGAACGCATCACTATGTCTGGCTAATTTTTTTTTAAGTTTTTGTAGAAGTAAAAGTCTCCCTATGTTTCTCAGGCTGATTTCAAACTCCTGGGCTCGAGTAGTCCTCCCACCTAGTCTTCCAAAGTGCTGTGATTATAGGTATGAACCACCACACCTGGCCTTCTATAGTATTTTTGAAGCAAATCCCTACATCATATCTAATTTATAAATGTTTAAGAATGTTATCTCTGAAAGATAAAGAATTTCAAAATGTTATATACTTTTAAAATGATAATTTCTTAATATCAAGTAGCAAATTAGTATTTCATTTCCATTTGTCTCATAAATGTCACATTTTTTATTGAGATACAATTTACATGCCATGAAGTTCACCCTTTTAGGCTGGGTGCAGTGGCTCATGCCTATAATCCCAGCATTTTGGGAGGCTGAGGCGTGCGGATCACTTGATGTCAGGAGTTCAAAACCAGCCTGGCCAACGTGGTAAAACCTTGACCCTATTAAAAATACAAAAATTAGCCAGGCATCGTGGTGCACACCTGTAGTCCCAGCTACTTAGGAGGCAGATTAGATTATTACTTATTTGCTTTAACCCACAGCACACATGCAACAGTCTCAGAATACTAATACCAAGACCACCACTAATAATATGATTAAAAATACATATTTTTCCTATCTTATTTTCTTTGATGTATATTCCACTAGTGATGCCAAATTACTGTTTTGATAAAAAGGTATTTCTGGTATGGTTATGCTACCCACTGGATGCTCATTTAGATGCACTAGCTTCATCCTCAAATCTTTTACTTTTGTTTCATAATCATGTAAAATATTACATCATTCCAAAGTCAAGTTTACAAAACAAGAGATATTGAAAGAGACTTCTTTTTCTTTTTTTGAGATGGAATTTTGCTTTTGTCATCAAGGCTGGAGTGCAATGGCACAATGTCGACTCACTCTGATGATGGCAACCTCCACCTCCCAGGTTCAAGCAATTGTCCTGCCTCAGCCGCCCAAGTAGCTAAGATTATAGGCGTGTACCACCATCCCCAGCTACGTTTTGTATTTTTAGTAGAGATGGAGTTCCACCATGTTGGTCAGGCTGGTGTTGAACTCCTGACCTCCAGGGATCTGCCCACCTCGGCCTCCTAAACTGTTTGGATTTCAGGCATGAGCCACTGTGCCCGGCCGAAAGAGACTTTTATTTTGTTATTGTTTTTTGAGGCAGGGTCTTATTCTGTCACCAGGCTGGAGTGCAGTGGTGGGATCATGGTTCCCTGCAGCCTTCACCTTCTGGGTTCAATCAATTCTCCCATGTCAGCCTCCCAAGTAGATGGGACAGGTGTGCACCACCACACCCGGCTAACTTTTTCTATGATTTGGTTGAAAATGGGATTTCATCGTGTTGCCCAGGCTGGTCTTGAACTCCTAAACTAATTCATCCACCTTAGCCTCCCATAACTTTTATTTTTATCCCTCACTTTGTTCCTTCCCTCTTCCTGTAATTAACCATTTTTAAATGTTTATAATTTATCCTTCCATTTAAAAAATATAGCAAATACTTTACATAGATAATATAATATTGTGCATTTTACTATACACAAACTTTCCTCCACTTTGCTCCTTAATATGTTTTGAAGATCTACTCTATAGATCTGCCATTATTTGTATAATCAATCCTCTATTGGTGGACAATTGGATTGTTTCTGTCCTTTCTGCTCCTACAAATATTGTTGTAAGGATGGCTGGATGTGGTGAGTCATGCCTGTAATCCCAGCAATTTAGGAGGCTGTAGTGCAAGGATCACTTGAGTCAGGAATTTGAGACCAACCTGGGAAACATAGAAAACCTTGTCTCTATAGAAAAAATTTAAAAATTATCCAGGCGTGGTGGCATGTGCCTGTAGTCCCAAGTCCCAGCTACTCAGGAGGTGAAGGTGGGAGGAATGCTTGAGCCTGGGAGATTGAGGCTACAGTGAGAAAAGACTGAGCCACTGCACTCCAGCCTGAGTGACAGAGTGAAACACTGTCTCATATATATATATATATATGAGACTATATATA